ATTTATTAGTATCTTGAAGTCTTCATAAGATGGGTGATCATTCAATTCGCAAACGAACTTTACATATGAATTTACTTGCAATATGTCCATTAAACTTTTAGTTGTGGTTTGACTCATATTCACGTTAACTTTTAGTTGATGTTTCACTTATATTTATATTATCTAATTTTTCTCATTCAATTTTATAGCTCATTCTCTGTATCATAGAAGTAAAACTGGAAGTATGAAGAATGTTTCTTACGAAATTAGAACAGGGAGATTATGATATATTTCTCATGTGCTCTAAATATAAAAATTTCTTTTCTTTGATGCAAGGTCTCTATCAAATCTTACACCAAACGATGTGAATAAAAAATACTATTATAACTCACTTGCCTAGGGCAATTATATTGTATATAGGATACATAACTTATCTGGAATATTCATATCTCCTAAGTGGATTCTGCTGTTGTGAGAGCAACATGTTAGAGGCTCGTATTCAAACTTTTTGGCTCTATAAAAGACACAAGAATTTGAAGTGTATAGTTTATATATCATAAAGAATATATCGATTCATGAATATTTTTCCTAATAATGATATTATTACAATGATATTACTATTCAATATTAAATTAATTTTATTATATAAGATTATATGACCTTTTTTAATAAATTATAAAGTATATATATAGAAACCTTGATGCTTATAGCCAGTAGTTGGGCTCCACAAAATAGGTTAACTTTTATATTGCAGTTTGTTATTTGTAGTACTGTTGGCAATGTTAATACCTTTCCTCTTTATCTTATTATTCATATTTTTCTGATGTAAGTTCTCTTTTGCTAATCATTCAATTGGCTATATTTAGTTTTTATAATATCAGAGGTTAGAATATTCTCTTCTATTTAAAAAGTGTTAACATGATAGCTTAAAAAATTATACACATAGTAACAATAGTATATACTTCAGTATAACTCAAACATTAGCTTGAAGCCATTTAGAGTAAGGTCTTTTCTATGCTAGAATGGTGATATAGTGATTACACAGTCTAAAAGTCAAAGAAAAAGTTTCTACAAAGGAAAAGTAATTTATATGTCAAATTAAGAACTATTTTATAAAATATACATGAGCAATACATATAGCTATAGAAAGTAAGGTATATATATTCATAAAAATTTCATAGTGAGTGACCAACTACAATCATCCTAATTTAAGTATAAATAATTATTATTTTAGTTGCTAATTTGATACGCATAACTATGGAATAAATCTTTAGCAAAAAATAGGAATTGAGATTGTATTATGTTGTAAGTAAATAAATAAATATTATTAGAGCTCATTTTTATAGTAAATTTAAAAGTAATAATTTAAATTATTAAGCACCAAATATTAGCTCATGTGAGGAAGTAAAGTAATCTATGGTCTATATATGTATATAGTCAATCAATCAAACATATTAAAATTATGATAACCACAGTCAAAACTATATGGTGTGTTCATATTAAATATAATTTATAAAAAATAGTACATTAAAGTCAAAATCTTTTCAACCACTATATAGATTGGTAAAATTTTTTACATATATAAATTATACTGCCTAGGAATAGTGATGTGCACACTTAACTATGGTCTAATAATTTTAAGAACAACTTATTCTTCACTATCATCATTAATTGATGTATATGTGCATTACACTGAAAATACAATAAAAATTTAGAAAACTATAAAAATAAACATCCTCAAAAGTTTTAAAAAGTGTAAAAAACAAGCAAAATTTTATAATTTATAAATACACAAAAATATTAAACATTACAGTAAAATCAAGGAATTACAAAAAAAAAAATCATTGAAAATTTTCAAACTTAATTTGGAGGGGAAATTTGCAATATATTAACTTTAAGGGTGTTTTTTGTAAATTTCAAATTTAATAGATTTTTAATTAAATATATATTTTTAAAAAAAGTTATTGATAATATTTACCATGAAAAGTTTTTCCTAAACCTATACTTTTAAAATATGTATGATATTTTTTTACAAAATTTTAATTTTTTAGGGGTTGTTAGTAGTTTTTCATATTCATTTTAGTGTCTGTAGGTTAGAAATTCTCATGGTGTTTTTTAGTAAATTATGAATTTTAAGGATTTTTTGTAATTTTTTAAACTCATAGGCCTTTTCTACAAATTAAAAATTATTTATAGACTATTTATAATTCCTATGTTTTCAATTTACTAATAAATTTGAAATTTTTAGGGTGTTTTTTTATAAAATTTTAATTTCAAATGTTTGTTTGTAATTTTTGAAACTTTAAGGGTGTTTTCTATAAATTATATATTATGTAGGGGATATTTATAATTCTTATATTTTTAATGTACTATTAGGTCAGAAATAATCAAAATTTTTATAAATTTTACAACTCTAAGGGTTTTATTTTGCAATTTGTAAAAAGTTTAGAGTGTGTATTGTAAATTCCATAAATTTTGGGAGTTGTTTGTGTTATTTGTAGGTTTTTAGTATGTTTATAGGTTTGAAATTTTTAATGTGTTTTTTTATGAATTTTTAATTTTAGGGATGTTTTTGTAATTTTTAAAACTTACATGATATTTTTTCCAAAGTCAAAAAACTTTCAGTTTCTAGTTAGCATATGTTTTTTAGATTTCTCACTGAATTAAGATAAGTAAAATTTATAATTTTCAAGATGCTTTAATAAAATTTTGAATTTGTAGGGACGTTTTTGCAATTAAAAAAACTTAGAGAATATATTTTACAAAGTCTAAAAATTTTAGGTGTTGACTAGTTTTTTAGATTTCTCTACCAACTGAAATAAGTAGAGGATTTGAATTATATGAAACATATATATTTTATTCAATAACGTGTTAAGTCTCATTATGAATAGAGTAAATCATTTGGTTATCAATTCAAAGAAGATAGGATAATTAGAATAGATTAGGATAACAATGTAATATTAAAAAAACTAATGGTAATAGTGAGCATAAAAAGATTTTCCCGAGCTTGTACTTTTAGGGCATGTTTGTTTGCACATAAGTAATTATGAAGTAACTGAAGTAAAAGAAGTAGATGCTACTTCTGCTACTTCCAAGAAAAAAAATGTGCTTGGTTTTCTGAAAAACTTACTTCCAATACTTCTCTAAACGCTTATGTGACGCCTACGTGTCATTCTTACTTCCAAATAATTTTTCCAATCCTCAATACTCAAAAGTAGCTCGGAAGTAGTTAACATAAATATTAATTAGGAAATAAATAATTTTTTATTAATATTTCCTTTGTTAGTTACTTCTAACAACTTTTCATTGATAAAATTAATTCATAATAATATTTTCAAATGTTATCCAAATAAAAAAAAAGTTAATGAAGAGGAAGAAGTTCTACTTCCGTTACTTCTAAAAATATATGAAACAAACAAAAAAATATATTATTTCTACTACTTCCTATTTTATAGTTTTATAAATTACTTCTATAACCTACTTCTTACTTGTAATATTTTTATTATCCAAACAGACCCTCAAAGAGAGTATGATATGATAGCAATAGACATGTTGTTTCCCGAATCAGGCCGACGTCTGCCCCATAGATTCTGTCACTGCTTGCTCCCGGAAATTGCGAACTTCGATAACGCAGGGGTATCTAAGAAAATCCCAATCATTCTACATGGTTTACTTTTTTATCGTCTATTTTTTTCCCCCTGTAGGAGCATCAGTAACGAGAAGACAATAACAATTGAGAACTTAATTCAACATTTAAGGTCTTTTGAAGTAGGTTTTCTCTAAACTTTTATTTCCTTAAACCTCTTTCTTCGTGTTTAAATATTGCCAATGGCTAATAAATCTCTATCCAAAGAAAAATCTCAAGTTCCATATATCTTCTTTCACATCTACAAACCTACTAATAATCTCACTCTCATTTTTTGCCACGGTGAACCAGAGGCACAAATGTGATTGCTTTTAATTTTTTTTATAGTTACTCTTTAAAATCCATAAAGAATGATCTCTGGATCTATGAAGAACTTCGAATTTACGAAGAAAATATTACAAGAAGAATTTTATTGGTAAAAGTGATCTAATAATTTTGGAGTTACATGTCTCCATTTTAATAAAAAAAATAAAATATACTCCTAATAAGACTGAAATTATAAAGAAATAGAAAGTATTAAATCCTACCTTAAAAAGAATTTCTATAATAGAGGAAACATATCGATCCAACATGAATTAAAATTAAATTTGTTTACTAATCTAAATAGACTCTAACTTTATTGCTAAAAATAAGCGAAATGCTTATTACTTTTAGATTTTTGCCAAAAATCAATTATACTGATGTGATTTTAGGAATCTGTCAATCCGGTTGGCTTCGTCTGTCGAGGTATGCGATTTTCATATATAATATGTTAGAATCTGTTGGATTGGGAGATATTGTTGTTCCTTTGCTGGCAAGTAAAATAATTCATTCGCTTCCTCATTTGACTCGTTAATGTCTTATTTCTCCATGAATTTGCTTATTATGCACCCTACATCAATAGTCAAGATCTTTTGAGGATGAATTTGGTAATGGCTGATAAAGCAGTTGTTAGGTTCCGAAGGGAGAAATGGAGTGAAGAAGATGATGGAAATGAAACTGCCCATTGATTACTTTTAGAAGTTAAAATAATTACAAAGTTGACAGCAGTTAGCCATCCACTAGTGGCCATGGTCCATGGAATAAATAGAAAAATAGAGGGTGATATTTTTCAAAGTTATTTACTAAGCGTACCAGGGGTACACCAAAAACTTATTTTTTCATGTATCGAAGCTGTTGGCCACATGTAAAGAGGGATAAGTAGTAGCTTGCGATAATAAATTCTAGTTACACTATATTTAGAAGGAATAATTGTGGACAGATCCCATGTAGTTCTATTATTGCAACCAGACCCCCCGAGTGAAATTCTTTTGACTCTTTTACATTAACAGAGTTCTTTGATTTTTTTTTTTTTTAATGAGCCGAAAAGAATTCTCCTTTGGAATACCATGGGTCAAATTTGGATTCATTCCACTATCAACAAAATAACAAAGACCAAAGCAATAACAAGAGGAGTTTATCCGCAACGAAACCTAGAATCAAATAAAGAATAGCTGAATAAAGTTTTGTTCCGCTGTTAAAAATAAATGATGAGATGGAATCGCCCCAGTGGAATAAGGGCATGTAGCTAATTGAACCAGCACTTTGATCAAAGATATCGACAAGACTAATCAATGTCATGGTAGAAGAAGCATCAAGGGTCTATCAATTAACCGCCAAGCATAGGTAGAAGCAGCATGCAAACTAATTGCTGCTGCTTAAAAATGGCCTAATCAAATAAACCCTACGGTTTGAATTCCCCAGGACGATCTTCATTCATCTGGCCACCATCATCTTTAGGTTCTTGGCGGGAAGATTCACCGCCCATGTACTCGTCAATGTCCAGGTCTTCCTCAAGAGCATGCAAACCAAGATCCCATAGCGAACAAGACCCAGGTTCAACTTCCACCTCTTGAGCATGACCATAATGCCCGAGACTATCCCAAACGGCATGGCCGGAACTGAATGATCCATCCCCAGCCTCGAAATCAGCGATACCCCAGATACCTTCCTTGCTAACACAATCGCTTGCGGGGGTTACTGCATCCGGAAACATCTGCTCCTGAGACATGCTTTCCGGCAGTGCCTCGAGGAAGTCTATCCCAGCAGCACCAGATTCATCCGCTTCAAAGTTAAGAACACCCTTTCCCTTAGAGGATGCAAATGGAGCGGAATCTGCCCCACCCACAGTCAAACCCGCAGGAAGAATATCCCCAGAAACCAAATCCTCAGGCATAACATCATCAGGTAGAGAGATCATATAGTCGGTACCAGAGCACCCAACATCTATCTGAGAACTCAGCAGATTCTTTCCCTTGAGGTTTGCAGGATCACTTGAACCTCCAAAAGTTTCTTGCCCACCTGCATCAAGACCATGCTTATCAACAACATCCTGCAGGAGATGTTCAGGTATCAGCTCACCCTCACCATGTTCAGAAACAGGCACTACTGCGGATGAACCCTCACCAATTTCAATATCAGGCAGTAGAGAAGCCAAAGCAGAAGAATCCCATATGCTTGACTGGTGCTTTACGAGCTGTTGGTTCATGGTCGTAGCTGATACACTAGAGCTAGGAGGCTGCTGCCGCTGCTGCTGCTTGAGAAATCTTCTCCTTACTCTCACTGAACCAATCTCTCTTTGTTTCTTCAGCTGCTTGAGATGGCCTAAGAACACTGGGCTCTGGAGAAGCTTAGCCAAGAAAGAAACCATCTGTCTTTGCCTCACCTCAGTGGATTGCATACGCTGATTCAGTGAATCCATCTTCTGAACCGTCATAAGATGCTCCTGCCTCAGTTGCACAACCTCCTGCATCAACAATTCCTTTTCTCTCTTCAGCTTCTGCACTTCGCTTTCCGCTCCAAGCTTTCCCATATCCAGTGAAGACCCTACTTGTGCACCAAGTTGCACCTGAGAAGATCTGCGCCTGCTTATATATTTCAACAATGTCCTCTTTCCACGCATAAAATCTTCATTAGCAAATTCCCATCGATCAGTACCAATCTTGCGGAAACCCTGAAAGATAGATACACTATTACGTTAAGCTCAGAACTGAAACATCCTACACGCCAAGGCGGAAATTACCTACAAAAGTAAATGCAAGACAACAAAACAATATACATACAACTCAGTTCCAGCATACACCTCTAGAGGCACATATGAACAATTAACTTAAAATTCTGCTGGACTAGCTGCTATAGTTGGAAGTTACTGAAGAATATGAGTTCTCACAATCTCATTCGTCCTAGATTTCCGGATTCAAGAAAAGACATAACAAGTCAAGAGATATTATTAGGTCCAAACAAAGTCTTCAACATGATTTCACAATAGAGTGAACATCCAAGAAAACAACTAGGAGAGAAACACGTGACAGAACGGCCGTATAGAAGTAAGTCCAAGGGGATACAAAATATACTAAAGCTATCCTACCAACATGAGTATCTTGAAGATAAGCACAAATAAATAACTATCATAACTCTGCTAGCATGCCTATCACTTAGGACAAAGTGTTTGATCTGAAAACCTCAATGCCCCTAAATTTTCAGATTTAGGACAGGAAATGGTAGCTTAAATATACTACAGTGTCCAAACAGAACCTCCAATATCTGTTACATACCCTGCATATCTGAAAGAAAAACCTAGGTGGAAAATGATATCCCCCAATAACACGATAAAATGAGAACTTGATGAACTAATCTCCCAAACTATGGCCAAGCAAGCGCGCGTGCGTGTTATGGCCAACTAGAAATAACACTGCCAATTAGATTAATTACAATACTAAGTTTTAGAACTTTAAGTGATGATCATAGATACAACTATCAAGACAGGATCAAACTTTGAAAAAGAAAGGAATAAGACATAGCAGTAAGCATGGCATGCAAGCAACAGGGCAATGAATGTAAACAAAAGAGACATTGCGCCGAAAGTTTTGGTTGCAAGAAAAATTATCATTCACATGGAACTCTTTTTTTTTTTTTTTGTTCTTCCTGATTTAAATTTAGAGAGAGAAGGTAAACACAGGTGTACAAATCCGATTACTTACCAGCAAGCTTGGCTCCAGAATCATCCCCGGTCTGAGGCACTCTTTAGATCATCGGAGTCAAGGATGGGAGGTTTCTGAAAATGGGTTGAGTTTCATCCTCTAATTGGGAAAATTACATATAGTTACATAATAAAGCCCCAAAGGACAGGACAAACTCTAAGGGAAGACGAGTCTGACAAATTATTACAAGATTTCCTTTCTATTACACAATATTTACACCTCAAACAAATTGTATGTAGGCTTACAATTCCAGCTACAAACACGAACCCATGTACAAGAGGATAAAAATAAAATAAACACATAAAACTATAAAAAAGAGAGATACATGAACGTAACATATAGGGCGTACAATACAATTGAGATTCTACAGAGACGTCCTCAGGAGCAATCTACATAGCAAAGATATTCATCAAAACCCGAGGAACCAAGTACAGACCGCATTAAAAGAAACAAGAAATGAATGCAAGGGGGTTAATGTTGTAATAATGAAGCAAGCAATATTGAATGAAT